GATTTTTCATAAGTGTCCCACTTCTCAGTTTAGTTTTTTCTTCAAAAAAAAAAACACCCTAGTAATCAGAAGATCTCTAAGCCCCAAACTGCACTTAAAATAGAACATGCTCAATGTTGCTGAAATAAAATGAATAATTAGTTTACATAATATTTATGATGTACAGTATAATAGCAATTATTCAATTAAATAATTAATTAATAAATTAATCAAGTAAAAAACTGGAACTCATATACTTGTTTTTTTACAGACATTTTATTTATTTAATACATTTTTTATTTGCTGACTTTTAATTATTTATTTATTTTTTCATTTTTGTTATTGCATTATTACATTTATGTATTTATTGTTATTTATATTTTTTATATTAGATTTGTTGTTTAGCTGTTTTTTTTCCATGCATATTTCTATGAGCTGATATCCTTCTCTCTGTGAAACTGCACGAAAAACGTGAGCACATAACAAGATTTTGTTCCTTAATGCGAATATCTGTTTTATGAATATTAGTATTAGGAAGAGGCAAACAGAAAATATTTTTTCTTCTATTGTATAAATGAATATATATATTAATTTCCAAATATATGGAGACAAACCTGAATATATAAATTATGAATATGTCATACATGTGTGTATATATTTGTGAACCAGAGTACTGACAAGGCTTATAAATTCATCTGTACTTCTATATTTTCATAATTTACATTTATATATTCAGATTTGTGTCTATATATTTAAACGTATAAGTATATATTCACAATTTACATTTGTCTATTTAGAATTATAACTTTATATTCAGAATTTATAAATATATATTCAGATTTCATATCATTCTCTCACTCTCTCTCTCTCTCTCTCTCTCGTCAGTGTAACTCTGGGATTTCTTTTGGCTTGTTTAATGTCCACCTGATGAAAAGTGTTAGTCTGATTAAACTTAAAACAATTGTGCATATCCCCTCACGACAAGCCCCAGGTATGAGCAGTATTGATGCCTGCTTTAGCCCTAACAAGACTCCGGATGAGCTGACGGAGGCCGGAGGCTGTGGGAGTCTACAGAGGTCTAGCATGATATTTTGCCAGGATCAGAGAGCCCAGGCTGGGCAAAACAACAGCAGGATTAGCGCATGCCAGAGCACAATCGCCTTCCCACAGCGAAGACAAAGTGAGCAGCATCTAAAACCGTGCTTTTTCCCTGAAAGAAAGAAAATCATTGATGATACAAACAGATTCATGGACTGAGCTGTAAGGGACTCTGTGTTTGTATGCTTTTATACGCCAAACCTTCCGCCAGATCCTTTGTGTGCAAGCATGTCGACTTCCTTTTGTTTGAGAATCAGTTCTTTTAGAATGTGTGTGGGTTTGTCTTAGTGTTTGTTTGTGTACGCGTTCACTCGCCTACCTCCATGTAGGAGGTTTTCGGCTTGTCATCTGTCGCCTGCCTGTGACAGACAGCAAAAAACTGCACGGCTCCAACCTGCGGATACAATTACGAGATAGACTCCCATGATTCCCGGCTGAGATGGAGGTTTCTGGAGGTCACATGATCAGGAATGTAAAATAGACCCTCCACCTATTGGGAATCAAGAAGAACAATGCAGGAAGGAAGATCCAGCTTTGATTGAATTGACCATTTAACCCATCAGATGAGATCAAATTAATTTGAGTGATTAATCGACTGTGCAGCCACAAATGAACCGACTGTCTCATTCGTTTTGACGCACGGGACAGCTCATCTCTCTATTTGTCCTTGCACTCGACTTTGACTCAGAGCAGGTGAGCGGCCCGCTGTAACGTACACTGGTTATCCGTGTCAAATCTCTCAGACAGCGGCTTGTGTTTCGCCTTTAGCCACAGCAAGTAAAATCTGCAGCATTTATTATTTACTGCCGGCTCTTTGTCTCTCTCACACTTGGTTTGTACTAAAGACTTTCTGCCTGTAATAATGTAGAATGGGCTTGTCAAACATTTATATACTTGGTGGTCCTTAAAAATAAAAAGAAATTTGTGTAATTAATTTGAGGTATAAAAGCCTTTCTTTATTGAAAGATAGTTATCTATCTATCTATCTATCTATCTATCTATCTATCTATCTATCTATCTATCTATCTATCTATCTATCTATCTATCTATCTATCTTTCGTTCTATTGTTCTATCTGTTATCTATGCTTATTTGTCTATCTGTCCTTCTGTCTGTCTATTTGTCTGTTGTTCATCTTATCTATTTATCATTTGTTCTGTGTATCAGTCTGTCATTCTGTCTGTCTGTCTCTCTGTCATTTAGTTTATCTGTCCATTGATCTATCTATCTGTTCTTCTTCCTGACTATTGTTCTGTCTGCCTACTATCCGTCTTTCGTTCTATTTGTCCTTTGTTCTATCAATCATTCTGTCCATCTGTCATTCTGTCTTTATGTTTATCTGTCCATTGTTCTGTCCATCGATCGGTCTGTCGTTCTGTCTGTCTGCTTATCTATCTGTCCGGTGATTTACATTTTATCTGTTTATCATTCTGTCCATCTTGAGATTTGATCTGCTCAGCCAGCCATCTGAAACTGCATTACATCAAAAAAAATATGCTTGCCTTTGAAAGAGTTACAAAAGCAACCTCACATGATGTTGTGAGTGATTTCACTGATGTTTACTTTCTGTAATAATGCTGGCAAAAATGGCTATTTTCTTGATAACTGATTAGTTTTTGTGCTTAACATTCAACACCCAGATGGTAGAGATGTTTTCGCCAGGTTGAGTTCAGTACACATGTTTTTTCGACAGGATATAAAGACATTTGAGAGGCCTGCTTTGAATATTGTAATCTATTTGATGAGTTCCTTGGCTCATCAAAAAAAGAGTGAAAATGCACTTGCAGTCTTTGATAGTTTGATCATAATTAGTTTTGACATGACTGAAATGTATAATCAATTCACCGTTCTCTCTCTTTTTCTCTGTGTTTCTCCTTTAGGATGCTGGGGGAGCTCTGCTTGACTGCGCTCCAGTCTCTCTTGGCTGTGTGTCTGCTCTTCACCCTGGAACACTGTGAGTCATTCTCTCCTGAATCTCAGCATTCATCTACTCTTATCCATTCAGTTGTGGGAGTGCACTTGTCAATCAAAAGTCCTTGTTGACTCAGTAACAACTTTTTCAAATCTCAAAATGTCCAAAACCTGCAGCTGAATTAGTGCAATTTTCATCCACAATGGAAGAAACCAATGCAACCTACACTCTTAAAAATAAAGAGCTCTTTATTGGCATTGATGGTTCCATTAAGAACTTTTAACATCCATGGAACCTTTCCATTACACAACAATTATCTATCTATCTATCTATCTATCTATCTATCTATCTGTAATGGGGCGACAGGGACGAGAGTTGGTTGGAACCATTTGCATAGCTTTATTCATAACTGATTAGTTTTTGTGCTTAACATTCAACACCCAGATGGTAGAGATGTTTTCGCCAGGTTGAGTTCAGTACACATGTTTTTTCGACAGGATATAAAGACATTTGAGAGGCCTGCTTTGAATATTGTAATCTATTTGATGAGTTCCTTGGCTCATCAAAAAAAGAGTGAAAATGCACTTGCAGTCTTTGATAGTTTGATCATAATTAGTTTTGACATGACTGAAATGTATAATCAATTCACCGTTCTCTCTCTTTTTCTCTGTGTTTCTCCTTTAGGATGCTGGGGGAGCTCTGCTTGACTGCGCTCCAGTCTCTCTTGGCTGTGTGTCTGCTCTTCACCCTGGAACACTGTGAGTCATTCTCTCCTGAATCTCAGCATTCATCTACTCTTATCCATTCAGTTGTGGGAGTGCACTTGTCAATCAAAAGTCCTTGTTGACTCAGTAACAACTTTTTCAAATCTCAAAATGTCCAAAACCTGCAGCTGAATTAGTGCAATTTTCATCCACAATGGAAGAAACCAATGCAACCTACACTCTTAAAAATAAAGAGCTCTTTATTGGCATTGATGGTTCCATTAAGAACTTTTAACTTCCATGGAACCTTTCCATTACACAACAATTATCTATCTATCTATCTATCTATCTATCTATCTATCTATCTATCTGTAATGGGGCGACAGGGACGAGAGTTGGTTGGAACCATTTGCATAGCTTTATTCATAAACATGGTCAGAAACAGGCAGGGTCGAAACACCAGCAAACAGGTATAACACGGGCAAGATACAAGTGTAGTCCAGTGAACAGACGGGGTTGATCGGTTGCGAACGTGATCCAGGGGGCAAAACAAAGAGAGATAATCTAGATACACGCTAATAGTCCAGGCAGGGGAAAACAGAGTCCAAACAACAAGACGATTCCAAGACAGGCAGAAGATCAGTAAACAGGCAACAGGGCAACACGACGTGACTAGACTTAGACTGGAAACTAGAACTGGAAACTAGGACTGGGAACTGACTCTGTAGTGTAGCTATCACTAGGTGAGAGATAAGCTCTAAACAACACTCGGCAGTGAGAGAGATGAAGTCCATGGCTTATGTAGGTTGTGTGATTGGCTGCAGCCATGTGCGTAATCAGAGTGAAATGGATTGTGGGAATTGAAGTGCTGAAACTGGACTGTAGACATTTCAGTGACTGAAACTGAATAGACAATTCACACTCAGATCCATTAATTGAAACTGGACAGACAGATGGTTCAAAGGCACATTTTTGAGCTGTGGCAGAACAGAGAGTTCACAGACGGCCATCATAGCCATGACAGGACAGGCAGAGAGTTCACAGATGGCCTCCATAGCCATTACAGGATAGGCAGAGAGTTCACAGACGGCCTCCATAACCGTGACAGGACAGGCAGAGAGTTCACAGATGGCCTTCATAGCCATGATAGGACAGGCAGAGAGTTCACAGACGGCCTTCATAGCCGTGACAGGACAGGCAGAGAGTTCATAAGGGGAAACCACTGACACCTCTGGAGGTTCTGTAGCGATTGCCGCCACCTCTGGAGGTTCTACAGCAGTAACATCAGGAAACAGGGAGGGTTCAGTAATGGTCTCTTCGACCACGACACGACAGGCTGAGAATGCATTGCTTGGCGCCACCACCACGCAAGGAGCTGAAGCAAGCACCACCGCCTTGGGAGGTTCTTCAGCATACGCCGCCACCTCTGGAGAAACTGCAGCAGATGTCATCGCTTCAGGAAACACAGCAGTGAGCGTTACCACCTCAGGAGATTCTGCAGCATCAGCCGCCACCTCTGGAGACACCATAGGGGACGCCGCCACCTCGGGAGGTTCTGTGGTGGTGTATGCAGCCCAAACACACCAAAAAGCGATCCCCATCATGGGAAGAGTTTCACACAGGGGAATCAGTTCAGGAACAGGAGGGCTAGAGTGAGTGGGTTTGGGGATACCAGCTGCGCGTGCAGACAACAGCGGTGCATCCCTCATACTGGATACCAGACTGGGATACCGAAGGACTGACCTTGAAGATCTGGGTGCAACAGACAGTACGTGACGTGACTCTGGATGATCAGCTGTGATGTGACGTGACTCTGGATGATCAGATGTTATGTGACGTGACACTGGAGGATCAGCTGTGATGTGATGTGACTCTGGAAGATCAGTGGAGACATGACAAGACTCTGGAAGATCAGCGGAGGCTTGACGAGACTCTGGAAGATCAGCGGAGATGTGACGTGACTCTGGAAGATCAGCCGAGACGTGACGACACTCTGGAAGATCAGCTGAGACGTAAAGTGACTCTGGACGAACAGCTGAGACGTGACGAGACTCGAGAAGATCAGCTGAGACGTGACGAGACTTTGGAAGATCAGCTGAGATGTGACGAGACTCTGGACGATCAGCTGAAACGTGACTCTGGAAGATCAGCGGAGACGTGACGAGACTCTGGAAGATCAGCGGTGACGTGACTTGATTCATGAAGATCAGCTGTGACTTGACTGGACTCAGGAAGAACAGCTGTGACTTGACGAGACATACACAGGCTCTGATGCGGCAGCCGCGATGTTAATGGGCTCTGATGCGGCAGCCGTGGCGTGAATGGAGTCCGAAATAACAACCACGACATGTTTAGGATCAGGATCCTAAGGCGACACCCACAGTGAAAGAGGAACCGACAGAAAACAAAACATAATTCATAAACTGAGCGAGTGACGAACGCGGACCCTCGCGTCTAAGCTCAGATTGTAGAGGTTGATTAATGCCATCACAAAAAAACTCTATCAAAAGACAGTCCGGTAAATCTGAATAGTGCGCGATTGCTAAATATTCTCGAATATAGTTCTCCAGCGATCACGGGCTAATAATATTTGTGCTGTGTCCATACCTGACCAATTTTCCTCTGAAAAGCTGCTGAATCCTTGTGTGGCCGAGGCAGAAGATCAGTAAACAGGCAACAGGGCAACACGACGTGACTAGACTTAAACTGGAAACTAGAACTGGAAACTAGGACTGGGAACTGGCTCCGTAGTGTAGCTATCACTAGGTGAGCGATAAGCGCTAAACAATACTAGGCAGTGAGATAGAGGAAGTCCATGGCTTATGTAGGGTGTGTGATTGGCTGCAGCCGTGTGCGTAATCAGAGTGAAATGGATTGTGGGAATTGAAGTCCAGGGAAAGTGTGACAGTCTGTGTAGTGTGAGAGTCCATGTGGTGAATAATGACCTCTGGTGGTGAACAAACGGAAGTTCATAGACCGGATTCGTGACACTATCTATCGTTCTATCTATCATTCTATCGTTCTATCTATATATTTATCTATCATCTTTTGTTCTGTCTCTCTGTTTCTCTGCCTCTCTGTCTATCTATCTATCGTTCCATCGTTCTATCTATCATCTTTTGTTCTGTCTGTCCATCCGTCAGTCCGTCCGTCCCGGATTCACCTATCTATCTATCTATCTATCTATCTATCTATCTATCTATCTATCTATCTA